AAGAAATTTATTCTAATAACTGTACTAAACATTGCTGCTAACTTAATTAAACCATTGAATTGATTAAGTGAAAAAATTATTAAATCATTTAAAAAAAAATTATATTTTTTGTAAATTATAATTACTTTTCTTATCAGGGAATAAATTATATTTAGGATTTGTAGTAAATAATCAAGTACATATAAGCAGAAAAATTCATAGTCCCTCAGAACAAAGTTTTTTTTCTCTTTTCTTTTTTTGGATCGAAATTTCCCCCAAAATGTTAACATTTTTCATTCATTTTCCTTTAGTACAAAAATTTTTTTAAAAAAAATATGTTTGGAAAGTAAGCTTATATAAGAATAAAAATTTTTTTGATTTTTCACAATTCTTGAATAAACGAGCATATGTTGAAATAGTAATAATTTATTAAATTAAATTACTCCTAAACTTAAGGAATTCAAACTAATAAATACACAACTTGACATTTTACGTTTTTTAACAAGGTAAAAAATTTTTAAACTGACACATTTTTTAACAATAAAAAAATTTTTTAGGAATTTTTTTAAACAGAAACTTTTCCTTTGGCTGCCTGAATTTTTCTCAAAACCTCGTTCCCATGATTAGACATATACTGCTAACCTGCATATAAGTAATAATAGCAAACATTACATATCAAAAAATATTTTTTTTATTAGTTGAGATCAGACAATTATTGGCAACCACTTAAGTTTTACTTAATCTAAAANACTAATAAATACACAACTTGACATTTTACGTTTTTTAACAAGGTAAAAAATTTTCAAACTGACACATTTTTTAACAATAAACACATTTTTTAACATCAGACAATTATTAGCAACCACTTAAGTTTTACTTAATCTAAAAAATCTGCCTGAATTGTGACATAAATTAATTAAAATCAATATTTAGATTAATAATAATTATAACAACTTACAGTTATTACTTATAATATATTAAAAGTACCATGCTTTTAGAAAAACCAATTAATAATTTAATGGTTTTGGTGATATTTTTTATAAAAGTGATATATTAATACAAATTATAATTATAGTTTCGCCCAGTGGCTGAGCGGTAGTGCTTTGCACTGTCGTGCCACAGGTCCCTGGTTCGATCCATGAGCCGGGCAAGGTTGACTCAGCCTTTCATCCCTTCAGTGGGTCGATAAAATGAGTACCAAGCATGCTTGGGAGCTAAACACTGGGGACTCCTCGTTGGGTTGACCACCCAACCGGAACATCTGTCCTTGCACCTCAGAGCCCAAAGGTCAAGAAAACTGAGATGGGCACAGTAGGCCTTGGCCCTCTATGGGTTGTCAGGTCACTGAGTTTAGTTTGTAGTATAATTATAGTTTATAATGCAAGTATTGTTCATGATTTAATGTCTAATAAAATGATCTCAATGTTAATAAAATGAAACTTGTCCCAAGTTTTTGACATTTTTTATCAGATTTTGAGAATTTTTGACAGGTTTTGACATGCCAAGACAAACACATTGAATGGCATCGAAATTCCAACCCTGTAATTAAGATATGCGTACTAAAAAAAAATATTTCCTTCTTACTATTGTTGAAAGTTCTTCATAAATACATTCATACAATGCACAATAATGTCTTAAAACTTTACATGATCATGATAAAATAACTAAGTTCTGACAAAAAACTCTTTTTATGATTATATTAAGCACCATAAAAACAATTTATACACAATTTTNTTGGGAGCTAAACACTGGGGACTCCTCGTTGGGCTGACCACCCAACCGGAACATCTGTCCTTGCACCTTAGAGGCCAAAGGTCAAGAAAACTGAGATAAGCACAGTAGGCCTTGGCCCTCTATGGGTTGTCGGGCCACTGAGTTTAGTTTGTAGTATAATTATAGTTTATAATGCAAGTATTGTTCATGATTTAATGTCTAATAAAATGATCTCAATGTTAATAAAATGAAACTTGTCCCAAGTTTTTGACATTTTTTATCAGATTTTGAGAATTTTAATTAAGATAATTAAGATATGCGTACTGTAATTAAGATATGCGTACTGAAAAAAAATATTTCCTTCTTACTATTGTTGAAAGTTCTTCATAAATACATTCATACAATGCACAATAATGTCTTAAAACTTTACATGATCATGATAAAATAACTAAGTTCTGACAAAGAACTCTTTTTATGATTATATTAGGCACCATAAAAACAATTTATACACAATTTTAAAGATATTCATTATTAAGTGTACTATTTTACTTAAGTACACTACTTTTACTTAAGTATTTACTTAAGTATTACTTTAAGTATTACTTTAAGTATTAAGTATTTACTTAAGTACACTATTTTTAAATTAATAAGTAATTTATTTAATTATGTAAATGAATAATTCAAAATTATAATTAATTTTTAACTATTATTTTAAAACATTATCGAGTGTACTTTTTAGATTTAAATGAAAGTTATTTATAAAAGCATATTCAACAAAACATTAACAAGATTATTATTAATCATACTGAATTTATAAAGATATGTAAAGAATTAAACAAACTAAGAAAACTCTAATAAATTCACATTACGTTAATGTAATTTAGGGAATGAAGCCAAAAAGAATGTTTATTAGTATAAAAGTGAGTTTATTTTTTCAGATTATTATTTCTATCAGATTATTTAGATCGACAAAAGATTGTTTTTTCAGATTATTATTTATATCAGGTTATTATTTCAGTTTTCTTTAGACTAGAAAATTATGAAAACATTTTTAATCCCTAGTATTTTCAAGCATCACTTTAAGGATCCTTTAAATTAAATAAAAGCTTTCTCTAGTCCTTAAGTTAAAAGACTGACCTTAATATCGAATGGGTCCTCTCTGGTGGCTTGCTTTCTTCCACATTCACATGTAGACACTATTTTCACTTGACTGCAACGAGACATCACGGGAAGAGACTTATCCTCAACATTATCATCCTCCTCATCTTGATCACTTCTATGAATCTGAATAGGAGTAAATCCATTATTACTATTATAAGATAGAATAAATGATTTCAGTTTTATAGTAGCAGGGTTGCCACTCAAATCTGTAAAAAAAATTCCCTGTACATATTATACACAGTATTATAAGGAGAAACACTGTGATCTTGTGTAAGCTATATTGGGATAACTGTACTAGTTTTAATTGAGTGCTGGAAAAAATTAGAGAAAGAAAGAACAGCTCAACATACTTAAAACAAATAATGCTGAAATAAATGAAATAGTTTAGTATAGCTGAAATATCCTAAAATATCCCATACATCGCACCTGGAGTGGTCACCAATTTTTACAAAAGATGAATATAAATACCTATGCTACTTTCTTATGTTTGAAAATCTAATTAGAATTTAAAAGATTTTAAATTTTTAGTGATCAGGAATCACCCCTTCTCTTGGATCATTTCTGGGGTAATTCCTGATCATTTCTGGGGTAATTACTGATCACCAGTTTTTATAGCAAAGGTACTGTTTAAAATAATTATACAATGGTAATTAACAAATAAGACATTAAGATCAAACAAATAAACCAAAAAGATATGTTTAAGCTGCTAATAAAACGTTTTATTTAAAAGCAGGAATAAAGATTAACTCTTCAGCTCTGGCAGCAGCTCTCACACTGAAATTTTCATTTTCAATCATTAAAAGAAATTCACTATTTTTGCTTTCTAGAAGCTTAGTATCCTTTTTAGGCTTATAATTTCTCACCATATTTATATTAGGTTAATTTATCAACTTAAAAATTATTCTAACAATGTACACACATAAAATTAAGATAGAAGAAAGGTAAGACAAGCTAGAAATGGTGCATATCAGAACACATTTGTCTTGTATACAGTTAAAAACAAATTTTGTGATTACAGTTAAAATATATTTTATAGTTGTTCCACTTAATAAATATGAACTGTTATTTAAGAAAAGACAATTAACTATTTATTAGCTATTTTTTATACTATTTATAAGAAGAAATGACAATGATCAGGAATTACCCCAGTGATCAATAATTACCCCATCTGTAGGGGGCAACATTTGATATAGTTTCCTATAATCAATTATAATGTTTACAATAAAAGTGAAACAATTAAACAAAAGCTTACACTATTTTTATATCAAAGAAAAAGAAAGTAACTCAAAATATTTATTATTAAGAGAAGTGTTGCAGAAATGTGCACATTTTGAAACCTGTCTTTGAAATGGAAAATACAGAAAGCAGTTTAAAAGATACTTATTTTGTTAGATTAAACAAAAAAACTAATATTAAGTAAATGTAGTTACACTTTAGTAAAGTGTACAAGCATTCTTGTCCATGTATCAAATTTAAAAATAATTCCGGTTTCTTAATTTTTTTAAATAAAACTTAGGTGATCATTATTTACCCCAGAAACAGAGTGATCGTTAATTACCCTGGGTCACCCTAATTGGCGAAAGAATGAAAGTAAATATCGCGCAAACAGGATTTAAAAAAAAACTTCCAAGTTTTACCAGGTCAAAAGTTTTTGATTCACAAAAGGGCGCAAACCAATGCTCTTGATTTATGCGGAATACCGCTATATTCATGCTAAAATTGCATGCCTCACCTCTAGTTTTTAAACCCGGAAGAATAATATTAAAAACCAGAATTCGGGAGTGCCCTTGGAATAAAATCACCCATGCATTTGTCGAGTGCATATTTCCATAACATTAACATACACAATACTAAAATGCAGTGATATTTTGAATAAAATGAAGTAACAACAAATGAAAAAGAAACTCACTGGATTCATGCAATGATTTCCAGTAAGGCTGAGAACTTCGCACATTTGATGTCCGTTTTTCCAGAGCCTTTCGCAGTCTTCCATCAGCTTCTGAGCGAATCTCGGCACAGCCGGACCCCTTGCGTGGATGTTAAATATGTGTAAAGCGCGAGCAAGCTAAAAGTAAATTACAAATAGAATCAGAGAAAAATTCCATTTATAGTTATGCAATTTCGGAATTATTAGAATCATTTTTAACCCTAGTTTCATGATAATCCTCAGTGTAGTGAGTGGGTAGGTTTTCTTGGTATGCAGCAGACGCTAAGGGCAAGACTTTATTGCACCTTCTGAAATGATAAAAAAGATAAGAAAAAAACATTTTAAAAAAAGGAATCGAATACAGGATGTCTAATGAAAGACTGAATGATTTCAAAATTAAAAAACTTTTAACAAAATTAAAAAGGCGACAGACGAATGAAACAAACTGTAAAAAAGCTGTAAAAACATATTCAGAATTTTTTTGAATCTAGTTGGAAAGACACAGCCTCACAAGCTATCATTGACCAGTTCCAGCATTTTTCTCTGTGTCTAGTTTTAATTTTTTCTATCTAAAATTTCAGAGCGTATTTGATAGGTCTAAATGCTTCATTCTGGAAATTATTGGTAATAGTAGATGGAATACTTGATAAAAAGTGATAATTGGTTTTTTAAAAAAATCATTGATAGCGGCTTCTCATTCTTTAAAGCAACTTTATCATTCTAAAAACGTTTAAATAAAACTTTTTTAATTTTAAATGAAAGAGAAAAGAATAAAAAAGACAGCAATAAGCACTCAGAGAAGAAGAATTTTAAGACTGTTTTTGTTAATAAAAATGTATTAAGAATGTCATTTGTAGAAATTGCAACATAGTTTAGATACAGAGGATGACTGACTGATATTAAAAATCTTTGAAATGAAAGGCGACAGACGAATGAAACAAACGGTGAAAAAGCTGTAAAAATATATTTGAATTTTGTTTCATCCGACACATTATTATAATAATTTGTTACGTATTATTAATACATGTTATGTACTACAGTAATGTAAGCAAACATTACTATTATGAACCAAATAAAACAATCTTAAAAATTAACAATTTTATTTTTACTATTTTGTTTATTTGCCCATCTGCTACCTCTAACGGAGGAAGAAAATAGCATTTCTCAAAATGAATGATTTTATTCTTCTGTGTTGTGTCCTTTCATGTTAACCAATAATCAGCTTGTTAAATACAACAACAAAGGACTCACAGGACCAAACATGCATTTCATGTAAAATGATATTTCGCATCGCATTAATGACTTTCGACTGTACTAACAACCCTAAAACCTTGTTCTTTCTTTATTAATTCATTAAACA